TGCGAAACCCCCCCCCCCCCCCAGCACCGTCCGGCCGCGAGGGCCAGTGAGTTCTATACCCACCCCCAAAGGAAATCAACTCCGAAAGAAGCCATCAAAGACTTCGCAAGCCTTTTCAAACCCCGCTCTGTTACCCATGAGCCGAGTGACGGCAGTTGTGGTGGTTACCGTGGTGGTCGGCACTGCGGTGATCGGCACCGTGGTGGTCTGCATGCAACACAAAACACTAAGGCAGCACTGACACATACATGCTGCTGTGATCCGAAGGCCTTTGGCATCTCACAAATTGCGTCAGGATCAGCTACTACAATGCCAGTGTCGAGCACTCATGTCCCAGCCTTTTGCCCATAGTACCCGTAGTAACTGCGACCACGACGAGGCCGGAACCAGCGACGAAATCGCAGGGGTTGCGGTTCCTGAATTCGAACGGAAACACGCGCCAACACAGAACTCTCGTGGGGATCCCGCATCGAAACCAAGGCATGGTGATTTGCCGGATGCACATGAGAAAGCGGATGCTTCGTTTAAGCACGTGCCCGATAAACCTGAGACCCTGCACCCCAGTCCAAAAACTTTGCTCTATGTGGCTAGGAACCAGCTTGGCTTGCAAAGCCGCCGACTCATCAGCTTCATCTGGTGGCATGCCCGAAACAACCTGGCTCCTGTGGTTACGGATGCAGGTGCTATATAGGATCTGCTGGATCAAAACTCTCCGGTTCAGGAATGTGCTGAATCAGGCAGCCTCTCAGCCTGTGAAAAGTTGCATCAAGTACCCAATCCTAAACCCTAAACCGTAAACCCTAAACCCTAAACCCTAAACCCTGAACCAGAAACCCTGCCTGCAAATGCCCGGATCCTCACTGCCATCGCAGTCCCGTGACATGGAAGTGATGCTCTTCACCTGAGCTGAGCTTTTGGGTGCAAAGTAAAGTTTCAGGGTTTGGGGCGGGGTTTAGGCTTAGGAGGGTGTAAATTGAACGGCGTGTCTCCTCCTAAGTGTCATGCTCAAGTCCTGCGTGCAGCCCACGACACATAAGCCGTAACCACCAGAAGCCGAAGCAAGAAACTGGAAACCATTCTGCAAGACCCCGCTAGGCGTCGCTAGGGTGTTTTACCCTTTGAGACCTGACCAGAATGGCTGAGACGTATTGCGCGCTCGCGTGTCAGGTTGATCCTCCCCTCATCATCATGATCATCGTCGTGATCATGATGATCGCAACGGTCGTCATCATCTTATTCTTCGCAGTCAGCATCGGAATTTTCATCTCCATATCCATGTCCCTATTCATCTTCGTAGTCATCTTCATCTTGATGTGCATCTTCCTGGTCATCTTAACATAAATGATCATCTTAATGTGCATCTTCATCTTCATCCTCTCCTCCTCACCTCCTCATCCTCATCATCCTCATCATCCTCATCATTCGCATCATTCTCATCAACCCCTTCATCCTCTTTGTCCTCATCATTTTCATTGTCCTCATCTTCATCGTGAGAACACAGGTGCATGCGTAGACTGGTACTGTGGCTTGCGAGAACGGGGAGTTTGCGTTTGAAAAAGCGGGGGGGTTGGAGGGGCACAGCTCCCCCCATTGCAAAGCTTTCGAAGCACTCATGATTGATTTGATTTTGGGCTGCTCAAGTTCTTTGAAGAGAGGCTTGAAGGGGAGCTTGAAGGGGAGGGCTTCTCAAGGGAGCTTCAAGAAGGCTTCTCAAGGGGGCTTCAAGGGGGCTTGAAAAGGGCTTGAAGCCCAACCGGCACTTAGCGCGGCCTAGGTGCCGTCTCTTCTGCTTAAAAGCGCCAAAGAAGGCGAAATCGCATTTCAGACCCCCGTGTGTAAATGTGCATCGGATGATTTTCAATCGTTTTTTTGCATTGTCTGAAGCTTGTAGCAAGCGAAATCAAATCTTTTCAAAAGAATGAGAATTGAAAAGCAGTTTCTACGTCGAGACATTCTCAGTTTTCTTGCAAAATTTGTGAAGTTGTGTGCATTCTGGAACATAGCGGCGAAGTTTGGTTGGAAGGTGGTTGTATCGGAGCCATGCCAGCTTCCAATCTTTGATAAACTTGAAGGCGCCCCTAGCCGGGGCGAGGGGGTGCGAAGCACTCTTCTCCAGTCAATGTTCAAGTATGTTCAAGTGTCAGGGCAGGTAGTGGGACGACTACTATCACAACCATACGACTACTTCATTTTACTCTTTGAGTCTTTGAAGTCATCCGACTCGACTCTTTGACCTGTTTCAACAGAATTGAAACACATCTGGCGTCAGAAGCTGGAACCGAAGGACCAAGTGGACCAAGAAAGAATCGCCGGCAGTTGGAAAAGTGACTGGTGCCACCGCGCAGCTTCGTCGTTCGTAAATGATAGACTCTGATTATGATTATCTGATTATCTCACTAACAATTGACAATGTAAGCAACAAATAAAATGCACAATGAATGATATAACATGCTAGGTAACATTAATGGAAAGACGAAAAAGGACGTACAATGCGCTGACTACCTAAGGCAGCAGTCGGCTCGGCTACAGCTACAGGCCGTCACAACTTGACTGACAAGACTGACATGACTGGCTGATACTTTCCACTAATTACGGCGTCTCTGGGCAGCGCTTATAAACGAACGCATAATAGTTCGACGGGTGCAAGAGGGCCGAAACTGGGCTTACACGTTGGGCAGGCTGGTGGTAGATTTTCTACCTGCGGGTCGCACAGCCCAGCCCGGTAGTGCAAGCTTTGCGGCAGTGGGCTTTCATGAGCAAGAGTCGAAGTTCGTTGGCAGCGTAGATGCTTCAGCTCCAACGGACGCTCATGATTTACATGGTGTACGAGCTGTGGGAGCATTATGTAACGCTCGCGAGCTACTCTTAAGGTAAGCTGAGTTCTACGGGCACCTGTGTTGCTTTGCCAGCGAAAGCACTGGGAACTGAAGAAGTCATTGACAGGCGACTGGTTGGGAGGAGGCCAACTTTTTCCTTTGGATTAGGCTCAGGTCCTTGTGACGTATGACTTTTCAAAGCTCAAAGCTGCGCTTGCACTGGCCCCAACGGACGACAAGAGCCTTTTCAACGGAACAAAATCACATCGGGCGTGACAATTTGGAACCGAAGGACCAGGTAGGCAGACCAGGAAGGGGTCGCCGGGAGTTGGAGGGAGTGACTCGTGCCACCGTGCAGCTTCGTCGCTCGTAAATGAGAGACTGTGATTACGATTATTTGATCATCTAGTTGACAATTGACAATATAAGCAATAAAAACAAACAAACTTCAACTGTCTTCTCAGAGCTACGCTGCATCTGTCTTTTGTTCTTCTGCCTTGCGCCGCCGCCACCAGCCAATCAATCGAATTCAAGTCAACCGCCGTCATCCACCAAACCAAACAAAATCAGTCAAGATTTGCCAGTGTCCGTTGTTGCTCAACTCTTCCACAAAATGAGCCAGTCCAAAGAAACGAAAAGCACACCACGTGCAACACACCGTCTCTGTTCTCGACTTCGCAACGCAAATTTGAATCACTCTTTTTTCAACCAAAAGCTCCAGCAAAGTGCAATCAGCTTTGTTCAAAACAGATCAAAAGTGCGTCTGTTCGGAAATCTTACTGAGCATGTTCTCACCGCTCCTTCGATTGCCCAGCAGAGGAGAGATGTTGTTTCAAAGGAGGAAAATACACAAACAAACAATTCTTTTTTGCGCACTGCACAGAACTTAAGTTCGCGAAAAACAAATAAAATCTGTCAAAGAGCGCTTTGGATACTGCCGGGCTTGTGGAAAAATTGGTTTACACGACACAACACATTCAGTTTCAGAGGGCTCATAAGTAAACAAGATTTGTCAAGATTGGCGAGAAAGAGCTGACATGGCTCCGAAAGATGTTCATACAAGCACTTTCCAACCAAATCTCGACGCCAGTTCCAAAATATCACATAAATTCACAGAGAATGTCTCGACATAGAGGCTGCTTTTCTGCTCTCATTCTGAAAAGATTTGATTTTCGCCCAGTGAAAGCTTCAAACAATGCAAAGAATCGATTGAAAATCATCCGATGCAAATTTTCGCACGGAGGGCCTCCGAAACGCGATTTCGCCCTCCTCATTTCAAGATTCTTCAACACTGTAAAATTCAAAACCTGAAGATTCAAGACTTCAACTTCATGAAATCTGGAATTTTGAGTTCAAGATCAATCTTAGGACTTCATGATGTATTTTATTCTTTGAAGCTTTGAAGTCATTCGACTCTTTAACTTGTTTCCAACGGAACAAAATCACATTAGGCGTCACAACTTGGAACCGAAGGACCAATTGGGCCAGGAAGGAGTTGCCGCGAATTGGAGGGAGTGACTCGTGCCACCGTGCAGCTTCGTCATTCGCAAATGAGAGACCCTGATTATGATTGTTTGATTATCTGAAAATAATCAACAAACAAAATGCACAATGATTCCATGTGCTCGGTAACATTCATCAAAAAGCGAAAAAAGTCATGGACCATGGCATCGGCAATGGAGGAGCCATGACATCCTAAATCGTAATATGACAAGCAAAGAAAGGACCTACTACACAATCAAAACAAATGTCAATGTAATAAAACATGAATGTCTTGGAAATATTTGAATCAGTCAACATCATGATTCTTAAATGTGCCCAAGCTGCTTTTTTGTTTTTGTTCTTCAAATTGAGTTTCGATGAGTTGTACAGGGTTTGAGCAGCAGTGGCAATGCGGTGCGTCACATGATTGCACGTAGAAAAACTGCTGAATTCATTACAAGAGAGAGAGAGAGAGAGAGAGAGAGAGAGAGAGAGAGAGAGAGAGAGAGGAGAGAGAGAGAGAGAGAGAGAGAGAAGGCACACTTTCTCGACGACTCATTGCGAGCTTTTTCTGAAGCTTTATGAGCAGCTTTCGTGCTTGCAGAACTGCAAGACTCTAACTTCTGCAAATTTGTTCCTGTCAAGGTCATCAGCAGAACCATCTGCTGTGTTGTCAACAAATCCGGTCGAATATAGATTTTAACTTATTCACGTTCCAGGCTGCAAAATTTGCGGAGTGGTGTTTTGTAAATCCACTACACGGACACAAATAGAGATTGTCTTGTGATGCAGGACGTCTCCAAGAAGTACCAGCCAGCGTAGAGCGGCTGCTCAAACGTTGGCAACTTTCAGCAAACGTACAACGCTTGCTGCGCATCGCAATACAACTGATGTAGCCACGGAGATTTTTGATCTAGAAGTTCAGAAACCTGTTTGCAAGATGGTTTGACAAAGAAGAAAGTCTGAAAATCTAAGTCGTGTTTGTCATGTTTCTGCATGTTTTGTGTGCAATAGGCATGCTTTGAAGCTTGTGAGAACAAATGCTTTCGTGATGTTTTAGAATGGATTGCAGTGTCACGGGCACCTTCCAACAGAGTCGCACGGAGTAGTCGGATGCGGAGCAGCTTCAAATTGTGGCCCTGCAGAGTCGCCGCGGAGGACTACATCCGCAATCACACCGACGTGGACTACGGCCAGCGGCAGGATACCTCACTTTCTTCCTGAGCACCTGAGCGAAGAACTGGGGCTTGACGCGGTGACGAGGAAAAGGCGGCAACCCTGCTACCAGCCCCTTGCATGTAAATGTCCCTCTTCACTCTTGTCATGGCGGCCATTTAGCTCGGCTGGCTCGGACATTCGTCCGCACGCCTCCGTAGTTTCTTGCCGGAACCCAGCATAGGAGCTATATGACACTTCAGCAGGCGGTGATATACAGTCGTCTTTACACGGAGCGTATGCTCCATCTCCAGCTGTATGACGGCTCGCTTGTTGCGCAGGTAGTGGAGCATCAACGAGGTCCTCGAGCCGAGCACGATACAATGGGGTGGCACCGACTGGTGCAAGGGGAGCCAATCCTCAATGCGTTCTGCCAGCAGGTGGACATCCCGGGGATATTCGTCGAGGGACATGCATTTGTTGCACGCCATCTGGACAGTGCAGTCATAGTCCTAGCGAGCTCGGTCGCGGCAGGCGAGGATTGGGTGGCGGTGATAACGGGCCTGCTGACGAAGCGAAAAGGCCATCGACGCGTACGCAGACGCGGGCTTGCCAGTTCTGATC